GCCAAAGAATCAGGAATCAGACAAAACTCTCCCCCCCCCCCCCATTGTGATTTACGTGCAACTCCTGACTGGTGTGTAGAAGAATGTGTAGCTACTCAGGACAACATGTAGTAGAAAAACAAGACTAAAGCTGTAACTATGCCAGGTCATCCAAATCCAACCACGTCCACGTGAGAAGCGCCGAACTATGTCCTTCAAATCTGATTGGTCGCTATCCTACCCAATCGAAGTGCGCCCGTAATGCCAGTCGCACGACCGTCTAACCGATATGCTGAGCGTAAAACTGGTGTGGAGCCAGCAGCAGCACACGAACTCAGAGACTCGGGTGCAGGCATTCCATCGTCGAACGATATGTGGCTGCTAACTATGGGGGTAGCTTGTTACTAATCCACCGTTGCATTCCCGGACATTATAGACTAATGTGCGTTTCCAGAATAGTCCGTCGCACCAAAATACAGCGGACCCTCGTAGGACATCATCATCATCATCAGTGTTCAACACTAATGCTTCACTGCCCTACAACCATGATTTATTTGAAAACCTTATTATGAAGAAAAGAATAAAGGTGGACAGGGAAGAGGCTCAGAGCTAACTAACTACAATTATTCCGAGGTGCCTACACCTCCAAACACTCATTCAGGAAACCTGGATAGAAACTGACAAAACGAGCGCGACTGACATCGATTAGCAGTCATATCTAACAGGGTCTTTAACCGGGCCCAGCGGGGATTACGCGGTCCCCAACCTGGTAGACGAGTAGCACAGATAGCACCTGAACGTTTCGTAATCTCTTTCATACCCCTCTGCCCAGTCAGAGGTTGGCCACCTCTCTGATCCGCCCCTCTGGATTGGGCATGGAAAATAGCACTCTCTTTGACAAATGATGACTAGGCAACACATGCCCCGACCAACGAAGCTTCTGATGCTGGACACATTCTTCAATGGAAGTACCCGTTGCACAACCAAAAACCCGCTTTCTGACTGGCTCGTTACGGACAAGCCGACACCAATCCACACGAGCTATGGTTCTGAGACAACGATTGCCGAACACCTGAAGAAGTCTCAGTTCCGCTGCTCGAACACGCCAAGCCTAACAGCCATACAACAAAACAGCCCGCACTATGACCTGATACATACGTCCCTTGACGCCATAGGTGTCTCAAATTAGCAAACGCAACCCGAGCCTTGCAGATCCGTGCATTGACCTCATCTGTCACGCTACAATCAGAAATTATACAACTTTCGAAATAAGTAAACAAATTCGAGTGTCTCACCTTGGATTGTAAGTGGCGCCTTTAGTGACTGCATATCCAGGAACATGTGGGTAGGAAAGATAACGCTGCATGCGATTTGTACTAGGCCACATATGCTATCAGCCGCAACGTGCCTAATTGATGGTCCGTAGGGATCGAACCTGAGGAGGGGGTGGGGAACGCAGAATTTGGACTCTAAGGTGAGTGTGGAGGATGTCCGCTGCCCGCATTAATCGCGAGATGCGCACCAGCACATGGGTCGTCAGTTTTCAAACTAGTTGGTGCAGCAGTGGCTCCAGAAAGGCACCTCTAGCACTGTTGTGGGACTGATACTGTGGGATGTCTCAATAGTAAACCCAGGATACATAGCTCTTCAGTTAGCCACATAATCGCACATCAGAGCAAACTGGCAGCTTGGTTACAAAGGGTATCAGTTTACACGATGACATGAAACAAGCGGATTCTACGGAGATGCCTCCTATTACCACAACAGGTATGGTAGTCCGTGGCCCAGTCATTTGCTACATTAAACAGACAAATTCTTTCTGCAACTAGTCGTGAGTAGGAGGCAGATCGTTCAGATGCATCCTGCAGGGCGAGGCTCACATGAGCAAATTTGTGCTCAGCTAAAGATACTGTAACACAAGGCTTCAGATTAAAGCCAACGGGCTGCAAATGATGTCCGACAAGATACAAATATGAAGAGAAACTCATGAACTACGCCTACTTGGTAAATACCGAACAAAGCGGTACAGGAGACAAGCCGCTGGAAAGTTCTAATGATTGTTTGAGGGTACCACATATAGTGGAGTAGTACTCCGGAACCTTGAAAACGGGTCCACCTGGAACCTCGAAGCAACCTTCACGTAATACACTTTGAGAAAAAACAGACGGAAGACTCACGCAAACTTAGTTCAAATCTCCGGTTCAGATCAGTTGAGCATATAAGTGAGCTCGGGTACGGAGGATGCTGACTATATTCAAACGATTTTTGGGAGTTTTACTGGCTCTTTCCTTTGCATGTACACAAAACCATGTGGCTGCTTAGAGAAAACATGGCATATGACGGTCACCGGCAGGCTAATATGAGCTCAGCTTATCCCGCAGAGCAATGTCGTGTCACGTGGCCTGGCGCTGAACAGCTGCTCCACTGACGAGTCCTCGGATGAAAGGTCCTTCTTGCAGAATAACAATGGCCTTTGGTTTGTTTATTTATTGACGCAGGTTAAAAACTGGTAATATTATCAAACAAAAGACGCGTGATGTGGAGAAGCTAGGGGATAATTAAAGTGCGAAAAACACGTAATGCGTGGCTAAAAAGTACCTTCAGCTTCAGTTTACACGCCTTAGTATATCGACTAGTCCGAAAGATCTTGGGTATTGTTACCGACGTATCTGAGCTCGTAAAGGATGCGATGAACTACTCATCGTCAAAACTGAGCAAATCTTATCGGAGATGGACAGCCTTTTTGGCACTGCCGTCGCGAACGCACTTATGGTCATGACGATACGTGGCATGCGCAGATGGCCAATCAATTTGAAGCTGTTGTGTCTGCTGTTATTTTGGGTTTAATGAATCAGTTCTGGCTAGATCCATTGTGTCATTGCATTACGCTGGCCGAAGTTGGCTCGGTGGTCAAAGTGCAAATACACTGACCGGAACGCCGTGGTTCGTGGCCGAAGTTGGCTCGGTGGTCAAAGTGCAAATACACTGACCGGAACGTCCGTGGTTCGAATCCGACCTCTGTATCTCGACTGCTCCTGTCTAGGCTTGGGCAACCTGGCAGTATCTCAGCCCCCTTACTTCCTTCGGGTGGCATGGCGGCTGGCCACCAAAATGGTGTTACCTTGCCTTGTATTCCCTATTCTTCATTCCAATGCGTTTTATTTCGCAGGCACAACTGTCGATCAAGACTTTTGATGCAAAGCGTTGCCCATTGTGGCTTATCAAGAAACAGAGTGCGTTACACCGGAAACTAGTGGAAGTTGAAACAGTGTTTAAATAACCAATTTCCCTCGAATTTCCGTTCAAAGATCCATTGATCCGGGCTACCCAATGTTTGCTCACAGCATCGAAAAAACACAATGCAGCCGAATTGCGAGTCTTCTGATGAATGCAAATTTCAAACACTGCCTTCCATGAGAAAGAAGAAACCTACCAGCACCATTTCACACTTTCTATGCTAATTTACACAACTTTGGACAAAAAGAATGGGCAACTCATGTCCAAATACAGAAACATGCGCCGGTATGGGTAGAAAAACACATCTTAAATCCGGACCTCGTGATCGCTAGCGCTGAAGGCTATCTGCATCAAGATGCATCAATTGACGATTCACCTTGAAGCTCCTTGAAACGGAAGAGCAAGGGAGCAAACCCTATAAAAAATAATATGAAATTTCCCCAATCCATCAACCGAAAGAATTGGGTAATCTACACAGTTTAATTGATGGAGCTTCTATGTCAAAAGCGGAACGCTGTCCAAATAAAAAAACTACCGATTGTTTACCAAGCCCTTGTTAGACGATTAGCTCTCAATAGGTTCCAAACTTTTCCGGCGCTGAGTTTGATAATGAAGACAATGAAGCAATGTCGTCAACCGGCTCATCTTCTGATCCCTCGGATGAAGAGGACGAAAAACCGTCAGTTGCCTCAGGAAACCGCAAAAGATCCTTTCTCCGACCTTTTGGCTTTAGCGGAAGATCAACCAAGCGCTCCAGCAGGTTCCTCAAAGGGATCTGAAGACTCACTTTCTCCCGATGCACTGCATCGTCTAACTGGGGCGTCAATCGGGTCAGACACAGGAAAAAGGCTGTCGTTTTCCGGACGGATAGTACAAATTGGGAGAAAGGGAGGTCATAGTCTTCGAAACTTGGACTCAAGGCGTGCTGCAGAGGCGGAAAGACGTCAGTTGCCCGTCGCAGGTGGCGCTACAAAGCGATCCTCTCGGACGTCCGCGAATCAGAAAAATAATGTTACTTCGATGTTTTCTATGTCTGTGTGTAATTCAGGGCCTATTCTGCCGCCTGGTGAAGAACCATCATGCTACCGGCTGTTCGGTACGACAAGCATCCATCTGCCCTCTAATTGGTTCATTCAAAAGGGGGCTACGACGCAGTAGCCAATGTGCAAACAATGATAGGACGGTAATGTGGAGCGATTACGTTTGCGGAATTCCTGTCCACATAACACCCGTCTGTTTGACTTGCTTATTTCGGTGAGTTGAACTGAGGAGTAGCCACTTGGTGCTCATTAGCCACCGTGGAATCCGTGCGATACTAGCGAGTTCCGCCACTCGCCGGACCAATCATTCCAGAGCGCAATGCGTTCTAATGCGCTCTATAAATATCACAAATAACTCAACGACTCAGCAGACTTCAAAGGCCCGCTGCGTAATCCAGCTGGAAAATGTTGACAGGTGAGTCGTTCGATCAAAGCGACAGCAAAATAACAAGGGCGGTCACTAACTGAGTAAAAATTCAGACAAATCGAAACAAAAAGACTCCTGTAGTTGATGTCTCCGAAACTGGGGACTTCATCCCATGAAACGCTGATTGAGAACCATCGAAGTAGGGTTATCGTACTGTTGCAGGCCCGAGATTGTTCTTAGGAGAGGAACCGGTATTTGCCAGATTGCGATCCTTTCAAAGTGGTGCTGGAGCAATGAATCAAAGAGTTCAACATGCGCACGCAGTTTTTGTGATGTTATCGGTAGGTTGCCACATATCACTGATAGACAAGCGTAGCGTAAGTCACTAATGGATGTGTCGAACCCGTCGATAAATCAACGTCGAACGTGTTTGTCGTGTGCGAACCCAACAAGACAATAAAAATAGGACATAGCTACGCATTCCACTGGATGTTGGTTTATTTCTGCAAGCTATCAGGCGACATCATAATTTTCATGATGCACGATGGAGACCGCGAAATCAAAGGAACGGAATGACTAATGGACTATCTAATTACAGGCAGTAAGTCAATCCAAGCGAGTTTCCAAAAAGGGTTACATAACGTGGATAAGTGGACATTTCAGAATGACACGGGTGTGGCAATACCTCGGCGGGTACGCGCAATGCAAGGCAAGGAGAATAGGAATGATGCTGATGACGGTAAACGTCGCTCGCTTTGTGGTGTTTAAAGCACCCATTATATCGCATTTGAACAAAAGCTTCGAGAGTGGCGAAGATTTGTCAACCAGCCAATTAGCTAAAAATTACCAATTGTTTACCAACATCTCTGTAACTAGAGAAAAGCTGTTAATTCCGACTGCCATAGATGAGCAGTTGAGATACGATATATCTGCGAGGGTGACTCAAGCTGGAAATGAGTAAACCAGCAAGTGAGTGGATGAGCAGGCGGACTCGACGACGATCTAGGAAGCTATAGAGGAAAACAGCCGCACCGCTGCGTCTTCGATTGTAGTTGAAGTGCTACTCAAATTCTAATAAGGATTGACAAAATACATATGTTGACATTTGTTTTTCTGTCTTTGCGGACGTAGGACAAGTGCGGATTAAAAACAACATATAGCAGAAAAATAGTGAATGATTGGTTGACCTCCAAATGTCACCTGATCAAGCTAACCGAGTCGTTTGCTTCAAAAGTTTTTGTGCGCGTAGTTTGTGCTGGTATGATAGGACAGACAGTGTTTCACCTATCGTTGAGGACCTGTTTTGTTGCGCATCAAGATTCGAAATGAGTTCACTTGTTCCAGCTAACCATCTGAGTCTAACATACGATGCATGAATGCGAGTTGACCTCGGATCTGGAGGGTGTTGTGAATGACAACCAAGTCCGTCGCGCGTTCCGCTTCACATCTGTCTGTCCCCATCGTATCTGCAGTGAAGCGATGCGTGGTTGTGCAGGCCGACATAACAGCGAAATTGCGAGGCTGAGCGAACAAACTAATGATTAATTGAGTGTCCTGATAGCTGGATGCATGCACTAGAGTAGTGCTGACCGTTCACTATTGCCAATTCCATCATTACGTCAGCTCACAAAGCTTTGGTGAGAAATGAAGCGTCCTATAAGTTGGTCGCGGGGATTACAGAATGAAACGAGTTTCACGGGTCCGAAACTATATCCTTTGGGTTGAATTAAGTAATGTTACAAGAGCACAAAAGCTTTGAAGCGTTTCGTTTACCCCGACGGCCACAATACCCACACAAGAAAGTCATCAATTTGCATGCATCAACTAGTTTGCTGGTTTTGAAAGGAGCAAACGAATGTGCCGATGAACAACGGTCAATCTCAGCTGGACGGCAATCCAGTGTCAACGCACTCTGTACCCACAATGTTTTAATCCAGTGTCAACGCACTCTGTACCCACATTATCAGAACTTCTCTGATTACGTGTATCAGGAAGGTCAGCTTCCTGAAAGCAACTACCACGACTCTCAGCTCCGCTAGATGTTGACCAGACAGACAACACCTCCTCAATATGCAGCGCGTCACAGCGAGTCAGCGTTGATCAAGGTCAGACAACGCCCTCGCAATATGCAGCACGTCGCAGCCTCGTACCGAAGCCAGCGTTAGCATTGGACCTGCATCCACAATGTGTTGCGCGATTGGTGACGCTGATTGGGGAGTTGAATTCAACTGTGCTGCTTCATTTGGTTAGGTGGCAAACGTTCGGATCAACACGCGCTCACGGGTTGAACTACCGTACGTCATCCAACAGTTAACGTTGTAGACGCTTTTACAAAAGACAAATTTCAAACGGCCAAACACTAAGAAACAGGGCAGCCCAGTAAAGTACAGTTGGTGAAATTCCTTGTTTCGCACTGGTCGACAGTAGTCAGTGGCTTGAGTTTTTTTGTACCGTCAGAATGTCTGTCTAGGCAGGGGTGTGAATCGACCAATCGGTTTGACTAAGTAAGCTGCACTGACTGCAAAAATACACTACCAACAACACTCAGAAACAGTAACAAAAAGCTGACACCTTCAAATTGCACAGCAGTTTGAGCGCAAGAGATAAGTGGACACTTCGGGTGGATATCCGAACTGCCAACAATTCGTAGATGAATAGCTGAGTCGCTTAAAGGCATCGAACCTATCAAGTAGTGAGTGGTACAAGCTTAGGGAATACTTTAAAAAAGGGATGGCAAACGCGAGAATCACGATCTAGTGGTCGGAACACAACTCACTTGCTGTTCGTTCAAGTTGGTATGTGAATTTCTGTTGAACATCATGGTTCAAGCGTTGTTTTCCCCCCCTGGTGTGGTAGGCGGGCTGGTACTGCCGACCGACTGTTCTTACAGAAGTGCGGTGGAAAAATCCGTCCTGTGAAAAGTCATCGACTCGTGGTCGTAGCGGTGGTGGACCACGATACCCGCTACCGCGTGATCTGCGCCCTAACCCGCCTGTATCCATATATCTGCCACTTGTCTGGACGGTTGGAGAGGGTGATTTTAGTTGGGCCGTTTTCGTGAAATATCTTGCAGGATTGTGCAAGCCACCATTCTCGCACGGAGCTGAAAAACGAAAAGAGTCAATAGTAACTCCATATCTCCGTAACTGCATATCTCTGTGGATAGACAACCCGATCAAAACTGATTTCTGTTGAGAGGTAGTCCCCATGCGACAACAATCGAGGTAAAAGACAGCGGAAATAATGCGGCACTGCTCTGCGTAAAACATCCAAAGGTTCGACCACTGTTACTTTCCTTGAGCCAGAAAACTACAGGTTCAAAATAGTCTTCAAATACAGACGGTGGCAGTTTGTCCACTTACCAAATCCAACGGGAGCAAGCCGATATATCCGAATCAGTAAAGTGTAAACAAGAAGACCAAGGTCACTGTACCATGGCAATGAAAGGTCGGCAAACGGATTGGTGCACTGAGAAAAACTAATTTTACCTGGTGAATTTTCAACCTGGGGCAACAGGATAACAAGTAAATCTGGATGAGAGGGCTAGTGGCCGGCGCAGTATCGTGCTGTCTCGCTCCTACGCCGCACACGTGTACGCATTCACATGAATCAACCCACAAAACCACCGTAAACCACCGATGTCAGTAAGAAGTCCCTACGCAGTAGGTAGTGTAGAAGCTGCTCTTGGTTGAGCGTCCCCATCCTGATGACTCAACGCTCTCGGGCGAGACATTTATGAAGATTGGTGATTAGAAACCTTTCCACGGACGTTTGGCTTCTGACTCTGCTTGCAGTGCAGCGCGACCATAATTAGATGCTCAGAGACAGATGACCTAAAGGAGCCATGGCGCCTTGCATCACATAGAAGCACCAATCCGGAAGACCCTCATATGTTGCTCAGATATGTCATCGATTTTTACCAAGCTTGGCAAGACTGGAATAATTCCTGACGTTCATAGTGTTATCGAATCCCGAAAGCCCTTCACCTGTACTGGAGCCCATCAGATGGGCTATTCACCAGTCACCATCAGCAGCTACAGACCGATTGCAATTTTCAGAGTAATTTAGACTGTTAGCTTCGTTCAACTAAGAATGTTGGATCCGAAGAGAACTGCGCACTGGAGCTCACAAGGGTAATGTATACATGCAACCACGGTGGCACATGATTGGAGGTCGACGAAAGTGGTCAACTATACAGTAACGGTCAGATACAGTAACGTGCCTAGGCTACGTTTGACAGCAACTCCAACCGTAGCTTAGAGGTCCTTATCCGGTATGCCCTTCTTGGTACGGCGTTGGCAGCGATCAGTTACGCGGTCTAAATTTCCTGAAACACTAGGGCACGATGGGTCTGACTTGCGATTTCTCCAACTCGGGAGAAGGATGTGGTCGAACATGGAGTGTCCAGCTACCCTGGCCACTGAACAACGGTCACAAAACCGTTTAGAGTGGGACCATAAACGAACTGGTTTGGGGTTTGGGAGCCAATCGTTTCTTCTGTACGTTTTCCTAACGAGTGGAAGAGTTTACGAACACGATAGAAACACTAGTTTTGTTCCGTACACACTTTAGGCTCACTCACTCAGTTTCTTCGTGTGTTTGAGGCATCCTTTTGGCCTTTTCCTGAAAGTGCCCAGGGCCCAATCGTACTCTTAGACCACCAGAGAGCATACACAATGCCCCTATTCCTCTAATGGGCAAGGAGAGATCTGCTAACTGCTTTTCTCCTAAAGACAACTATTGCACATGCTCTGATAATTGCTAAGTTCATCACATGGTAAACACCTGACCAGATCTGTGACCACCAGTAACCAATCAAAAAGAGCAAAGCAGGTTCAGACACACTGTTAATTACGCCCGACCTAAAACTGCCACCTTGACGTGGTGGTCGGGCTTGAGTTCTGCAACGATCCCGCGCGCTACACTGGCTGGAACTTCGTTCCACAAGGTGCAACTATGCCAGGAAGGCCAAAGGGGAGCAGCCAGACCAAGAGCAGCGAGACCCCGCACTACGAGTAATCGTGCTACGAGGCGGTCTGGGGATAAAGTCGTACTGTTCTCTGCGACAGGAGTGTGAAGGCAGTAAGGTGTTTCCCCCAGGCGACCAGCATGTCCATATTTATGGAAGCAGCGATGCTGCCTTCCCCCGAGGAAGGACGGGTTAGAAAAGGTCGGCCCCAAAACCTGCACACTCCGATTGCCCAACGGTTGACCGTGACCGCCGGCGCATTATCCAATACGGTCGAAATGTTTTTAAAAGACACCTGCTGTGCGCAGCCGCATCAGGAATCAGACAGTAATGCCTTATTCCCTGCGCCCTCGGGTTAGGCCAACCCCCTGCAGCCGAGCAGGTCAGACTATTGAGTCATCGGCTCCGGGCAGGGTCCCCAAAGAAAACCCTACATTCTCCCATTGCCTTGTGGGTCAGGCTTTTGAGTCAGAGGCTAGAGTCAGGGTCCCCGAACAAAACCCTACATTCTCCCACTGCC